TTTAGCTGGCAGGAGCTGTTTATAATCTGCCTTACACCTTTTTTCCCCATCTGTATTTTTCACTGCTCTCACATAAATCCTGGTCTTGAGGCAAATTGGATTTCTCCCTATTCCCTGACGCACTGTGCCCCTTCACACCTCATGGCTCCAGTTTTAGGCTATTTCCTTTGCTTCTGGAGACCTACCCTGTCCATCATAGGGGGTACTCCTTCCTCTCACAGCTCTTCAAAGGTACCCTGAAATCTTACCTGTTCATATATAGGTGTGATGTCTCCTGAGCTTTTAGAACATTTATTTGCCTCTTTAGTAACTTCCATGGAAGGTCAAGAACATGTCTTAAATATTTTAAAAAATCTCTCATATCCCTGAAGACTATACCTTGCTCATAGTGGGTATTTAATAAGTATTGAGTGAAGGATTGTGAAAATGTTGGTATTGTATTATTTTTTATACAGTGGAAGGAATTTTCTCCACTCTAAAACAGGTTAATGTATATGTAAATGTACTAATTCGTTTAGGACAGGGTTTCTTGGTGGTTGGCACTATTCTGTTTTGTGCTGGATAATTATTTTATGGATATTGTCTTGTATGGTTTAGCCTGCCCTACTCTCTCCTCACTAGATGTCAGTAGTACTCCTTGTCCTCACCCCAGTTGTGAAGACCAACAGTGTCTCTTACATTGCCAAATGGTCTTGGGGGTCAGTATGACTCCTGGTTGAGAACATTGCTGTAGAAGAAAAAAAGCATAAGGATTTCTAGATTCTTCTTAATTGTAGTTTATAACGTGTATGTTTTTGAAGGGCTTTTAAGTAAAAACAAATGTTTCAAAATTCTTCAAATTTAACCTTGTATAATTTAAGGAAACTATCTCAAGGACACTATTAATTCTTATAAAACTTTGATGACTTAAGAGAATTGCATTTTTTGTGTCTATTTTACATTGAATGATGGATTTTATTTGGTGTTTTCTGCAGATTGAAATTAAAATGAAAAAGTCAGAGGCTGTGAGATGGGAAAAGCTTGAGGGAGAAGAAGAGCCTAAGCCAAAACAGTTCGTAGCAGGTTTGTTTTCTGGCCTTGATCAGCTTTACATTCAAATTGTGTTAAATAGTTGAAATTAAATAGTAATGAGCTTTCTTTTTGTTTTCATTATTTATGTTCCCAATATAAGACACATCGAGTATCATAAGGTTGCTCTATAATGAATACAAATTGGCTCGTCTTATGAAGGTTCTGACTTCTTAAACTCTTAAAGAGTACAAATGAATGGCAGCAAAAGCCTAGAGAAAATTTGAATTTATTATTTACCTTGCAGTTTATGACATCAATTGGAGGTTGTTGTTTGTGTGTGTGTGTGTGTGTGTGTGTGTGTTGGCCTTTCCTATTTGTGATTTTTTAGTTTTAAGTGGATTAGTAATTTACCGATATATTTTCTCCTCTTTCCTCTCCCTTCTTATTTATTCCTTTCTATGCTGATATTGTCAACTCTAATTTCCTAGAATTTCAGAGATTCACTGAATAAAGTATTCCTTGCACTATATTGTCTAATATAATGAATTTATTTATAATATATTTTTATTGATTTTAGAGAGGAAGGGAGGGGGAGAGATAGATAGAAACATCAGTGATGAGAGAGAATCACTGATCGGCTGCCTCCTACACAGCCCACACTGGGGATTGCAACCCGGTCATGTGTACTGACAGAGAATCGAACTGTGTCCTCCTGGTTTGTAGGTTGATGCTCAACCACTGAGCCATGCCGGCCAGGCTGTTTCAGTTACTTTTAGATATTTCACTGCTTTCTTCTATAACAGAAAACATATTTCCCTGTGGAACTTTTTAGAAAACTCTGAGTTAGCCAACAGATCATGAATTTTTATTATTTTTTATTTTGAAATAATTCTCATAATTATAATAATTCTCATAATTCACAAGTTGCAGAAATAGAGTTTCTATGTACCCTTCACCTAGCCTTCCTGGATGTCAATATTGTAACTAAGCTATAGAATAATTAGTAAAATTAGGAAACTGACACCAACAGGTAATTTTTAAGAATGAAATTTGGGGTTGGATAATTAAGAATGGAATTTCAAGTTGGTATTTAAGCTATTTAACTAAGCTTCTGCATCCTACTTTATTTGAAATACATAGTAAAATATTATGTGTTTCTCTTAGGGCTGACTCCCATAGATTTTGGGGCTGAAGTTTATATATAGCTCAAAGCATTTTTAAAAGAAACACTTTAAATGTAGTATCTCATTTAATTCTAACAATGGCCCTATATAGTAGGCAGCCTAGTATTGTTTCTCCTAGTTACAGGCTCAGAAAGGTTAAGCAGCTTGTTTTAAGATCACCTAGCATTTTTTATTGTCTAGGACAGCGATGGCGAACCTTTTGAGCTCGGCATGTCAGTATTTTGAAAAACCCTAACTTAACTCTGGTGCAGTGTTACATATAGTAATTTTTTGATATTTGCTACCATAGTGAAACAAAGATGTATATTTTTGATAATTATTTTATATATTTAAATGCCATTTAACAAAGAAAAATCAACCAAAAAAATGAGTTCATGTGTCACCTCTGACACACGTGTCATAGGTTCGCCCTCACTGGTCTAGGACTAAACCCAGGTCTTCAGAGTCTGTGTCTGGTTCTTCTGTTAACCTGTTTTTCTGATTGTTTTTGCATTTTCTAACAATGAAAAGTCTCTGCTGACATGAGTATCTTTGCAGTTATTTGATATTATAGTGAACTAGAGGCCTGGTGCATGAAATTTGTGCACTCTGGAGGGTGTCCCTCAGCCCAGCCTGTGCCCTCTCGCAATCTGGGAGCCCTCGGGGGATGCCGTCAGTCAGACATCCATAGCACTGCTGTGGAAGCGGGAGAGGCTCCTGCCACCACTGCTATGCTCGCCAGCTGTGAGCCTGGCTTCTGGCTGAGCAGCCCTCCCCCTGTGGGAGCACACTGACCACCAGGGGGCAGCTCCTGTGTTGGTCAGTGCACATCATAGTGATTGGTCATTTGCATATTAGCCTTTTATTATACAGGATGAGCAAGGAAGTTAGGTTACTCTCAGTAATTCATCTACTACCTACAGGTGTTAAATTTTTCTGAGATCAACTATAAAGGTTTTTTTAATTTTACAAACTTTTCTAAACTAAATGCTTTGCATATTCATAAAGATGCTATTCCGCCTGTCCTGTTATATTTTTGTAGGGAATTAATATGCTTGTCAGATTCCTGTGTACTGCAAGCTGCAGACTGCAGATAAGGGCACATTGCTTAACCTATCTGGGCAGTGGAAATTCGAACCTGTGTTCCCATCTTTCTGTGAAGTCTCATTAGGATGAGTTTAATCCATGTTTCCTAGGCTCTTAATTTTCATGGCAAGTTAAAATTTTTCTTTGGCTACTAGTGATAATGTACAGAGATAGAGGAGATTACTAGTAGAGGAAGGTTGGTAGTGTGTAAAAAATAGTATGCTTGCCCTGAATAAAACTGTGTGGTGTGTTGTAGTTTTGTTTTGTTTTGAGGCAAGGATAGGCAGGGAGAAAGTTGGTTTACCAGTGAAGAGAAAGGATGGAAAAACAGAATGAACAATTAGTAGTTTTCTCATTTACTTTGAGGAAGGGGATGTAGAGAGGCAGTAGTGGAAGAAGGACATTTAGATTAGTATTAATGTGTTCTAATGTATTGATAGGAAATCTTTGAATCAGTTTTTTTTAAATCTCTGTGTTGCATTGTCCAATATAGTAGCTGCTAGCCACATGTACCTATTGAGCACTTGAAATATGACTAGCCTGATTTGAGATGTGCTCTCAGTGTAACATACATACTAAATTTTGAAGACTTAGTATGAAAAAAAGAAATACCATAATGTTTTTATTTTATGTTGAAATGATACTATTTTGTGTATATTAGGTTTAATAAATATATTATTTAAATGCATTTCACCTGATTCTTTCTACTAAGGTAGCTACTAGAAATTTTTTAATTATATATGTGGCTCACATATGTGGCTTGCATTATATTTCTATTGGACAGTGAACAGAACTGCTCTTATCGCTACTGGGTAGGTTAGTTACTTTTAAATTATTTGTGTGCCAAGATCTTGATTCCTTTGGTCTTTGGGGCAGCCTTGACAGTGCCCTGAGTCCCTGGGCTGGTATCTGTCTGCCTGCAAGCAGCCTCCAATTATCCCAGGGTGCCCTACAAATACTGTTATTTGCTATGTGTGCTAGTGTGGGCATTGAACTCTAGGTCATCCCATATAGTATTTTTCAATATTATGGACCTGATTCTTATTATCTCCTATTGAAGTATTCTGCTATTTTTAATGTGGGGAGAGAATGGATGAATTAACTCAACGCTGAATAGGATGGATAATTATTTACATTTGCAGTTTATTTCTACTCTGGAAGATATATAAGTATCTTAGGAAAGGTCACATTTTTAACATTAAGATCTTGTCTATAAGAGAAATTTCTGAATGAAGCAACTTAAAAAACACATTAATTTTATAATTGTACTATCTTTGCAACTTTTCTGTAAATATAAAAAAGTTTCTATATACTTTTCACTTAGTTTCCCCTATTATTAACTTGAAGAATCTGTTCTTCATCTAATTTTGCATAATGTATCAAAAGTTTACGTTTTATGGAACTATTTTGTTCAAAAGAGATTGCTATATTTTACATTATGTTGATTCAGTTTTTAGAAGTGTAAATTTAATTATTGATGTGTATCAGAAAGATACTTATTTCAAACATGAAGTTCAGTGAAATTCAGTCACCTATTATTTGCTAAGGTGTTCTTTACACCATGGTAACAAAGTTTACATATTCTTGGCATAATCAACACATGTTAACCACTTCTTTTTACTCTGTAGATGTAAAGAACCTATATCCATCATCATCTCTTTATACAAGAAATTGGGATAAATTGGTTGGAGAAATCAAGGAAGAAGAAAAGAATGAGAAGTTGGAGGGAGATGCAGCTTTAAACAAATTATTTCAGCAGATCTATTCAGATGGTTCTGATGAAGTGAAACGTGCCATGAACAAATCATTTGTAAGAATATAAACTTTAAAAATATATATTGTGGTAGTAAATTTCAGAAATTTTAAAAGAATAAGATCAAAATTTGAGTCCAAATTGCATGTACTATAGTTGGGAGATCTTTTTGAGTAAGCTTTATCTGGACATTTCTTCTTGCTCTAAACTTAGAATAATTACTGACGAAGTCGGAACTGGTGGAGGAGATAAGAAACAAGTGGTTTACACCAAATATTTTTTATCATTGAGATAGAACTGGAAAGGCTTAAGAAATATCAAGGTTATAGTGGGTGATACAGAGTTATTCTAGTTAAATTTATCAGAATAGCTGAATGAGCTTCCATTGTTTGCCTTACAGCAGTTCTCATCCTGTGGGTCGTGAACGATGAAAATACATCCTGCATATCAGATATTTACATTACGATTCATAACAGTAGCAAAATTACAGTTATGAAGTAGCAACGAAAATAATTTTATGTTTGGGTCACAACATGAGGAACTGTATTAAAGGGTGGCGGCATTAGGAAGGTTGAGAACCACTGGATAGTCTCAATGTCAGAGATGAAAAATACAGAAGGGAAACTTCCAGAACAGTGTTGGCAAGTGAAAGTACATATTATTATTCATTGGTTTTTTAATAATTTCTCTATCGATTAAGAAAATTCAGATTTTGCCAGGGCAGCATAAATGTTGTCTGTATTAGGCTTCAAGTTCTGAGATCTCAATGACAAGTCATCACTGTAGAATTATGTAGACTTTTTGCTTGAAGATGTAATCATTTTATTTTTACCAGTAGCATTGAAAATGTAACACACTTTTTTTTTAATCCTCACTGAGGATAGTTTATTGATTTTTTTTTGAGAGAGAGAGAGAGGGAAGGGGGTGTAGGGGAAGAGAGAGAAGAAAGAAACATTGATGTGAGAGAGAAACATCAATCCATCGCCTCCCGTAGGTGCCCTGGAATGGAATCCATAGTCTTTTGGTGTAGGGGATGATGTCTCCAACCAACTGAGTTACTTGGCCAGGGCTGTAACTCTCTTCTTTTAAGGCATTTATATTACAGTAAATGTTAAAATTAACATTTACTAATTAATATTTAGTTAATCAGTGTGTTTGAGGTTTAGATACTCCACATAAATTACTATGTGGTAACTAGTCATGATTGTGCTTTTCACTGTTGACTTAAAAAAATTTTGTTTTAATTAGACTTTATTTTGAAATAGTTGTAGATTCACATGAGTTGTAAGAAATGAGGAATACTCCTTATATCCTTTAGTTTCCCTCAATTGAAACATTTTACAAAATTGTAGTACAACATTACAACCAGGATATTGACAGTTAAAGTACAGAACATTTCAATTGCCACAGGATTCCTCCTTATCATTTTATAGCCATACTCACTTTGCTCCCACTCCTACCCCTTCTTAACCCTTGATAACCACTAATCTGGCAAGTCTTTGTCAGATATGTAATTTGCAGATATTTCTCACAGCCTGTAGCTTGTCTTTTCATTTTTTTAAAAAATATATTTTTTTTATTGATTTCAGAGAGGATGGGAGAGGGAGAGAGAGAGAGATAGAAACATCAATGATGAGAAGGTCAGTGATTGGCCGCCTCCTGCATGCCCCACACTGGAGATCTAGCAGGCAACCAGGTCATGTGCCTTGACTGGGAATTGAACTGTGACCTCCTGGTTCATAGGTTGATGCTCAACCACTGAGTCAGGTTGTCTGAGCCACTTTTTTAATGTTCTTTGCAAAGCCAAAGTATTTCATTTGATGAAGTTTATTAATTTTTTCCTTTGTGGATCATACTTCTAGTGTCAAATCTAGTATTTCTTAGTCTTGGATCTCAAAGATATTTTTCCCACATTTTTAAAAAATAAAAGTTTTGTAGTTTTACATATTACGTTTAAGTCCATATCCATTTTGACTTAAAGTGTGAGACAATGGTTAAGGGTTTTTGTTTGTTTGTTTGTTTTAGCCTGTTTATATTCTATTACTCTACTTGTTAAAAAGATTGTCTTTCCTCCATTAAATTTCTTTTCATCTTTCTCAAAAATCAGTTGAGCATTTTGTGGGAGTCTATTTCTGGGTTCTCTGTTCCATTGATCTACATGTCTCTCCCTTTGTTAATACCACAGTCTTGATTACTATAACTATATAAGTCTTGAAATTGGGCAGATTTATTCCTCCTACTTTATTCTTCATTTTTAAATTGTTTTATCCTAGTTCCTTTGCCTTTCCATATACATTTCAGAATACTTTGTCTATATGTACAAAAAATCCTGTTAGGAATTGCATTGAACTCTGTATCAATTTGGAGAGATTGACATCTTTACTGTGTTGAATTTTCCAACCCATTTATTTAGCTTTTCTCTGATTCCTTTCATCAGCATTGTGCAGTTTTCAGCATATAAATTCAGTACATGTTTTGGTAGATGTGCTTAAGTATTTAATTCTTTTTTTTGAGTGATTATAAATAGTATTATATTTGATATTGGTTTGTTGTTCATATCTAGAAATACAGTTGTGTTTTTTAAAAATGTTTGCTTTACATTCTGTGAATTTGTTGAACTTATTGGTTTAGGAGATTTTTTTGTAGATTTCTTTTGATCTAAGAAGAATAGATTCCTTCTGTTTTCTATATCATATTGTTTTCAAATATGGACTGTTTTATTTTTTTCCTTTTATCTTCTTTTCTTGATATATTGCACTGGCTGAAACTTCTAGCACTGTGTTGAATAAGAGTGGACATCCCCATCTTCAGTCTTTCACTATTAAGTATGTTGTACGTATTTTGTAGATGCTCAACGAAGGTGAAGTTCTGCTCTATTCCTATTTTTTACTGAGCTTTTATATCATGAACAAATTGACTTGTTGAATGCTTTTTCTGCATTGATCAATATAATAATGTGATTTTTTTTTAGCTTTATATGATTAATATGATTGATTTCTATTGTTGAACCAGCCTTGCAACCCTGGAATAAACCCCACTTTGTCATAGTGTAGAATTCTTGTTATATATTGCTCAATTCTATTTTCAAATACTTTGGTAAGAATTTTTGTTTGTATTCATGAGGGAATTGGTCTGTAGTAGTCTCTTTTTTTTGTACTTTGTCTGGTTTTGGTGTCAGGGTAATACTAACTTTATAAGAGGATTGGGAAGTTCTTTATCTCCTACTTTTTTTTTGAAGAGCTTGGGTAGAATTGGGGTTCATTATTCTTTAAACATCTTTAAACCAGTGAAATCATCTGAGCCTGTTCATTTCTTTTGAGGGGATTTAAAATTGTTATTTTAGCCCAGCCAGTGTGGTTCAGTGGTTGTGCATTGACCCATGAACCAGGAGGTCACCACTCTTTTCTCTGCCAGGGCACATGCCCGGGTTGCATGCTCAATCCCCAGTAGGGGGCATGCAAGAGGCAGCCAATCAATGAGTATCTCTCATCATTGATGTTTCATGCCTATTTCCCTCTCCCTTCCATTCTCTGAAATCAATAAAAACATTTTTTTAAAAATTATGATTTTAAATATCCTAATAGCATATAGGACTATTCAAATTATCTGTTTCATATTGAGTGACTTGTGGTAGTTTGTGTTTTTGAGGAATTGGTCTATTTTGTGTAAGTTTTTAGTATTGGTAGTATTCCCTTGTTACCCTTTTGATATCTGCAGGATCTCTGTGGTGATATTCTATTTCATTCCTATAATGGTAATTTGTGTCCTTTCTCTCTCTCTCTCTCTCTCCCTCTCTCTCTTCTCTCTTCTCTCTTCTCTCTTCTCTCTTTCTGGGGTCCCCTTTATCAGTCTTGCTAGAGGTTTGTCAACTTTGTTGATTTTTTCCCCCCAATGAATCAGCTCTTTGTTGATGTTTAAAAACTTGTTTCCTATTTTTTTCTAAATTTTATTAATTTCTGTTCTTTGTTATTTTCTTCCTCCTGCTTGCTTTGGGTTTATTTTGCCCCATCCCCTTTTTTTCCCTGGGTTCTTCATATGTGAGCTTAGATTGTTGGTTTGACTCTTTTTTCTCTTTTCTGTTTGTTGTGTGGGTTTATATAATAAACTCTAGAGGCCCGGTGCATGAATTTGTGCATGGGTGGGGTCCAGCTGGCACACCCTGATTGGGGCTGATCAGGCTGGGCCAGCGGGAGTGGGGGGGTGTGGGGTGGGAGGATGTAGGAGGTTGGCTGGCCAGCCCTGCCCCCGATCGGAGGGGGGGTGGCTGGAGGTGGTTGGCCAGCTAGCCCCGCCCCCTGGTCGAACTCCAGTGGAACTCCCGGTGGGGAGGTCAATTTGCACATTAGCCTTCTATTATATAGGATTTCTAAGCAGGGTTTGAGCTGACACCCACAGTTTTTGATTGTTATATTTTCATTTTGATTCAGTTCAGGATGTATTTTGCTTTCAGTTGAGACTTGTCTCATAGATTGTTTAGAGGTATGTTTTTTAGTTTCCATTGATTGGAGAATTTCCTGCTGTCTTTCTATTACTGATTTCTAATTATTTCATTGTGGCGTGAGAATGTGTGCCATATGAATTACATACTTTTAAATTTGTTGATGTTTGTTTTATTGCCCAGGATTTGGTCTATCTTAACTAAACTTCCACTTGAAAAGAATGTATTCTGTTGTTATTGAGTGTAGTGTTCTATAAATATCAATTAGATTCTTTTGGTTGTTATTTTTGTTGAATTCCTCTATATCATTGCTGATTTTGTCTTTTTTAAAATTTATTTTATTGATTAAAGTATTACAAATAGTAATACATATGTTTCCTTTTTTCCCCCATTGACCTTCCCCCGGCCTCCCCTATCCCCGACACATTCTCCCTCCTCCCCCCTCGTGACTTGTGTCCATTGGTTATGCTTACATGCGTTCATACAAGTCCTTTGGTTGATTTCTTCCCCTCCTCCCTCCTGCTCCCCAACCCTCCCCGGCCTTCCCGCTGCAGTTTGACAATCTGTTTGAGGCAGCTCTGCCTATGTATCTATTATTGTTCAAAAGTTTATAATGGTCTCAATTATCCATG